CATGAAAAACTTGAAAACATTTATTCACAAAGATATATCATCACCCCTATGTTCCTTGCAGCATTATTCATGGTGGCCAAGACATGGAGACAACACGTTAGTCCTTCTAAAGGAGATTGGATAAAGTAGACGTGGTACATATATATTATGAAATAATACTCAGCCACAAGAAAAATATGAAATATGGCCATGTGGGACAACATGGGTAGATGTTGAGAATATTATGCTAAGAGAAATAAGTCAAAGCTAAGAACCTTAGATTTCATTCATGTGGGATATAAAACTAAAATTCATAGATAACAAACAACAGTATGGGAATTACCAGAGGGAAGGGGGTGGGAGGGTAGTAAAGGGTAAAGAGAGCCAAATAAATGATGACAGAAATGATTTGACTTTGGTGGTGGGCACACAATGCCTTATACAGATCATGTATCATAGAAATGTACATTTGAAACCTATGTGATTCTATTAATCAATGTCACCCCAATAATTTATTTAAAAAGGAAAGAAAACATTTCTACCAACTTTAAGAAAACAGTCCATAATAGTCGTTAAATGATATACAACACCATGTAAAAAAAAATAAAACAGAAAACCAACAGAACAAAACAAAGCAAAAACATATCTGAGGTAAATGGATTTTGAAAATATTGTGATAGCATGATTTTTTATATTGGTGCAATTGATTGCTTATTTCTATAAGTCATTGTTATCTATTTAAATATATGACCATTTTTACTAAACTTGACATTAAAACAATGATCTGTGCTTTAAAATTAGTTTTGAAAGATGTATGTAAAAAATGGGTAGAGAATGAGTAGTTTTCAGAGTTAAGAGCCCCATATTTTTTTTAAGTGGGAAGAGGACAAATAAAACACAAAGAGAGCCCGGGCTGGTGTGGCCCAGTTGGTTAGGCTTAACCCCGTGCACTGAAGGTTGCTGGTTTGAGTTCCAGTCATGGCACATGCCCAGTTGCTGGCTAGATACCCAATAGGGAATATCCAAGAGGCAGCAATCTGTGTTTCCTTTCCTCTCTCTCTAAAAATCAATAACCTATTAAAAAAATAAAAATAGAGAAGGTATTGTTCCTATAATACCACACTAACAAACTGGTTATAATTCATTAGTAACAATAACACAAAAAATGAAAATAAATTGAAACTTACTAATTGTCAGGTCATATGTTATGTTATTTATTCCCCTTTAAGAACTTATTTAAGAATGGTAAGATATGTACACAGATAATAATTTTAAAAAAGGAACTTATTTAAAATATTAATGTTTCATTGAGCAAAATAAACTTATTTAAGTGACTGAGTTATATTTTACCTAATATGCAGACATTCATTATCTGTTATATTTTCATCTCTTCACCCTATTCATCCTTTCTAGAAAAACATAAATGTAATCAAAAGAAAATTAAAATTTATGTTTAAAGGCATGCTAGGGAAACAAAGATAAAGCAAGGATACAAAAGGCAATGTAAAACTGAAACTATAAAATCCTATTAAAATACATAGTAGATATAAAGTTTACTAATGCAATGATTACCTATCTGGTCTGTGACTCACCTGGTTTAAACATAAAATGTTGCATCAACTTAGATGCCACCTGTCTGGCTCTTCCCAACCCATTTCCTTTCACTAATTTCTGTTTATTATTCTTTATAATTTTACCATTATGCATTTGTAATCCTACAAATCGAGTTTTTGGTTTTGTTTTTATTTTTTAAATAATGAGGGCTTACCAGGAACCAAATTCATTCTCTCTCTCTCCTCTGCCTCTTTCTCCCCCATCTCATCCCCCTATCTCTCTCTCACACTAAGAGAAGATGTTTCTATTCCTAGTGAAATCATTCCAAGCTCTGGTTGGTGATGATTAACAGGTTGAAGTACTTGACAGTTTTGCTACATGAAGCAGGTAGCAGTTATTTCCAAGCCATCACATTTTGTTCACAAAAATTCTATTTTTACCACAAACATACAGGCATGGGGCTTAGTGTAGTGGCTTCATACTGTGTCTAAGCAGAATTCTTGAATAGAAATAACCGCTAAAATTGCAAGCATTTTTCAAGTTCTACAACTGCTCAGATAAAGCCTAATAAGTAGCATAGCATGATCAATTGGAGCAATATTGTTTTAGGCATTTAGATTATTTTGAATTTCAATAAAATACAGGAAAGTATTAAACCCTGAAACTTTAATGATGGCTAAAGTGTAGTAAAAACATGCACATTAACTTCAACATAAATTTAGCTGTTAAAGGGCTTTTGTTAAACGAAATTAATTTGTGGTTGTTCATATATTTCCACCCTTACAAATTCTAAATCAATTTTATTAGTCAGAAACTGTACATTGCTTGTAAAAGTCAGCAATCCATCTCAAATGTTTAAGTGTTTAAAGAAGAGGAGGGGTTGTACATTCCCACAACTGATAATCTAAAAGTATGATGGTTTCAGCCATCAATGCAAACTCAGGCAAAAAACATTAGGAATCTGTATCCCTTCAACTCTCAGCTCACCTTTTATGTCAACTACAAAAAGGATTTTCCCAGATGGTGGCAACAATAACCCCTAAAATTTCTAAGGTTCCAGTTCTAATTCCTGAAGGAAAAGAGCTAACCCAATAACTCTGCCAAAGATCAAGAGAAGGAGCTCTTTGGATGGAATGGATCATTGAACCATTGTACTCCCAATGAGGTGCTCAGGTTGGCCCAGCGGGCTCATATGCCCACTTCCTAGGAGACTATATGACTCAGGAGAACAGGAACTCAGTCTTTTATGGTTTTGCATCCTCACAGGTTAACACAAATTAAAATTACTTAATATATATTTTTGAGTGCACTGCTTAATTTCTTTAGATCTTAGTTTCTCTGCATTAAATGAGAGCTCTGACTTGTAAATCAAAATATATTTAAAGAGTGGTCTTCATTGTGTAGATGTACCATAGCATAAAAAAAGAAGGAATTCTTATCATTTGCAGCAACCCGGATGGAATTGGAAAACATTATGCTTAGTGAAATAAGCCAGTCTCACTCATTTATGGATAATAAAGAACATTATAAATTGATGAACAAAAAGATAGATACAGAGACAGTAAAGCAGCAGACTGTTAAATTACAGTGGGTAGGATAGGGAGATATGGGGGAAATAAGAGATCAACCAAAGGACTTGTATGCATGCATATAAGCAAAACCAATGGACACAAAACTTGGGGAGAGAGGGCATGTATGGAAGTGGGGATGGGAGGCAATGGTAAGTACACATATAATAAATAAATAAATAAATAAATAAATAAATAAATAAATAGAGTGGTCTTCAGGCATTAGTGACAAACTATCATTATTTAAATTAGGTAGTTTTTTTTAAGATTGAAAAATTGCAAGAAGAAAGTGATAAATTATTTGCATAATTAAAGGTAAAGTTAGTTACACTTGAAAAAATAAGCATGCTAATGTTTTTATTTAGAACTCTTTATTAATCTAAATCCTTCTGCCTCCCCCCCCTTAAGGCCATTGATACATAAGAAGGACTTGCTTTCCTTTTTGTGTAGCCTCTAGCTACTCTGGGACTACAGACAAATGTACTAGTTCCTGTTTTTTCCAGTTCTCTGCTTTTCATTTTCCTCATTCTTGTACCTCATTCTTGTAAACTATTGTTTGATCTCAACCAGCACCTTCCTCTTCCTGCCAAGTACAGTTCCTCCCAGACTTTTCTTGAGGAAACATTTCTATTACCTTTGTTACCGGAGGCATAGGCTCTTGACTGTGAAGTCACAGTAAAAGAATTTCAGGGACACTCACATAGGAAGAGTTTTAAGAGATAGTGGCAAGATTTATTAAAGGAAAAATGACAGGTGACAGGGCAGTCTCTAGCATAGTGGTTACCCTGAGGTCCTTGCTAAGCCTCTATGTACTTTCTTGGGTTTGGAAAAGAGGAGGCTTTTTTTCAAACTATCCAATCTCTTTCCTGGCTTTTCCCAGCCCATGCTGCTGCCCTTCCCTTCCCCAATCAATTTATTTTCTGGATTTTCTGGAGGTTGTGCCCTTCTCCAATCTGATTCTTTCTCCAGACTTTCCCAGGCTAGTGCCCACCCCCTTTTATGGTTGTGGTTTTGGCTCCAACTAAGCATGCTTCATATCAGAGTTCCACATCATCATTTGGCTTCTACTGTGCTTGTACTTAGTAAAAGGAAGTCCCCTGCTGCTTTCTCTCTCTCCATTAATCCAGCTCAGTGATGCTGGTTATCTACCTGGGTAGCTGCAAGGCTGTCTTTCCTGCTCAATTGACTAGGCAGGATGGTGTCCAGAATGATGCAGGTTACTACCCCCAGTGACTGTGAAATTGCTGCTTCCTAATCAGGCTCAACCAGAACACTTTTCTCTTTCATTAATAACTAACTAACTGCCTACTCTGACACCTTTGTCTTACCAAGGGGAGGATGATATTCTCTGTGGGATTTCTTATAGCCCAGCAGCAAGAAAATTTAGTACAGCAATGAAAAAAAAAAAATGTAGGCCTAGATGAAACTTCAAAAGCAGCTTTATTTCCAACAAATTGGCTATTAGTAAAAGGCTATGCTCTCATTAGGAGACCATAGGCTAACTCAGAATTACCAGCCTGTCATGATTTTATCTTTCTCTAACCAATTTTAGTTACTTCTATAAAGTGTATTATTCTACCAACAAATGAGGTGGATAATTAAAATTATATGATGTACTATTATTTAAAGGTTATTATGTACATATATTAGGCATATTACTAAGGATTGTATTTTCATTGTTAATTTCTATGTCAAGATTGTTAGTAGGCATTACCAATCCCACCTTTGAGACCCAGAATCTATGTTAGGATGTTGCCCAATTTACCTGAGTTCCCTCAGCTTCTGAGAAGAGAACTGGCATTTGATACAGCTCTGAACACCAGGTCCCAGGCTCTTTCTCTTTGTGTTGTACTTTTTACTTAACATTCAGATGGGATTTTCTTCCTGCTGAACATTTTTAACATAATATTGTTCAATACAAAAGAATACATTGCATGCAATTTAATAGTATAAGATATATATGCCTAAGTTTATTATTTTTATGTTTAAACCTTCATATTTTAGTTCTTTTTTGTGCTTTTTGTAACCCAACTTTGCTGCAAACATTGAAATTTAGAGGTATGAGTTCTCAGATAATGAGCTATGTCAGCATCCTGGAAAATACAGTTAAAAGTCAAGGCTTTGGTGGGAAAAGAAGCCCTGGGCATAAAATAACTACTAGAAAGCTCAATGATACTTATAAAATGAAAAGTCCATTACAAAGATAGTGAGAGGCTCTGGTTTTTTATTTATTTTAATTCTAACACTCTTCTTCCTGGTTTTCAGTATTCTTCTGCGTTTGAGACCTGTTAAGTAGTTCCATTGTAACTACCATGTTGTTTGGAAGGGTATTCAGGACATCTACACACTTACACAGATTCTGGGTCTCTAAGTTGGGATTTTGTGAGGATCCTTGAGAGACTTCATTCAAGAACCCAATAGCCAAAATAAACTCAGATGCTAATGATATTTGTTTTGTTTTATTTGTTTGTTTATCCTAATATATAAAAACCCTGGGTCATAATGACCATTAACAATGGAGGCTCGGCCAGCACGGAAGTTAGCACTGCATTGCTGTGGTAACCCAGTGCTGACTGCCTCCACTGCAGGTGTGGTGCCCCAACACTGATTTTTGAGGAGGCTGTGAATCAGGGCCAAAGGGAGGCCTAAAGAGAGAAGCATGGACTGACCCATTGCCTCTGTGGCAGCTTTTGATCAGTACTTGCCTCTCTCTTTCTCTCCCAGTCTGGCCAGCAGCCAAGTCTCCATTTCTTTCCAGGCCTCCACAATCAGCCCCACCTTTCTGATCAGACCCTATTGATAGGCCCCGAGATTCTGACTGACATAGAAACTGACCAATCAGAACCAAATCTGGGTGAAGTGTGAGAAACCAATGGCTGCCTAGGAGGCAGAGCTTTTTGATAGTGACTGGCATAGAAACTGACCAATCAGAACCAGATTGGCAGGCAGAGGAGGGCATTTGGGGGCAAGATAAGGCCTGCAAGGGAGAGCAGTTAGGGGTTATATCAGACTGGTAGGGAAGGGCAGTTAGGGATGATCAGACAGTCAGGCAGAGGTAGTTAGGGGCAATCAGGCAGGCAGGCAGAGGCACTTAGGGGCAATCAGGTAGGCAGGCAGATGAGTGGTCAGGAGCCAATTGTGAGAGAAATGTCTGACTGCTGATTCAGGCCCAATCCCTGGAGTTCTCTATTGGAGAGAGTGCAGGCTGGGCTGAGGGAACCTCCCCTCCAGGCACAAATTCCTTGCACTAGGCCACTGGTTTTTAGATAAAATACCAGTAGCACTAAACTTATAAACACACTTACCCTACTCCTATTTCTTAGAACATTACTGGAGAAATACCACTTATCTGTATTACCTGGAATTAATTTATAAATTCCATATATTCTATTATCTTAGTAAAATACTATTACAGGAACTCTCACCTTCTTATAACTAAATAATAATTGTTACATTAATTTACATTTTTTTATTTTTTGCTGAATTTTCTAAAGCATGCTCTATAGACTTTTCTTTTTATTTCTTTTTTTATCATCACCTAAGGATTATTTTTTCATTGATTTTTAGAGAAAGTGGATGGGAGGGTGATAAGAGATGGAGAGAGTAAGAGGGAGAGAGAGAGAGAGAGAGAGAGAGAGAGAGAGAGAGAGAGAGAGAGAGAGACATCGATGTAAGAGAAACCCATCAATTGGTTGCCTACCACGCAACCTGACTGGACCTGCAACCCAGGAACATGCCCCTGACGGAGAATCGAATCCACCACCCATTCAGGCTGAGATTCTATCCACTGAGCACACTGGCTGGGGCACTATACACATTTTTAACATTTTTATCTTAATATTAATCATGAGAATTATGCAGGTCTTTAAATGTTTATGTAATTCTGCCATTTACCAAGTTTCTTAAATCACTTAAGAAAGAGTCAAAGCAGATTTGACATTAAAAAATTTTACTTCCTAAAATAAAATGGTGGAAACCTACTTCCTGATTCTTATATCTAACTATGCTTATTGTTATTATTATACACAGACTTCATTGGTAAAACTGCAAGTTTTGTAATTAAATGTAAAAATTGAGGAGTTCACAGAGATATGCCAATAACTCCTGTAAACTTCTCCCTTTATATGTAAATTAGAGCCCAGATGTTGCATCATTTGCAAATCTTGCAATTAAAGCATTTTATAACTTCAGTTATGCAAAAGGGTAACAGACTGGAAAATGGGTAAAATTGCTTGGCTAGGACATTACCATGGCAACATACTGACCTCCATTCAATTAGTTACCACTGAAGATTCAGCTATTAATTATAGTGGTCAAAAGTGAATATCATCCGGTTCTCCTCTTACCTTTTAATATGGACATTTTTCACTCACCATAAATCTTTTACTTTCAGAGGCAAGACTCCCAAACTGCAGCATTTAAAATTGAAGCAAGGGTCAGGAAAGGAATCCCATTTATCAGCCATATTCGGGATAGTGTTTCAGCTTTCCATAATCTAAGCACTCTGTCAAGCAAACTTCAAAGTGAATATTTATTACTGTTCATTTTTCTCACAGAGCTCCCTGCATTGTGTGTGTCAGCAATTCCCACTCACTATAGAAAGCCAATGTTAATTAGGGCCACAATCATCACAAGGAGGCCTCTGAAATAGATAGATGCTCCATTTTTGGTTGAATTTTACATTTTCCAGCCAAAAATGTTATTACTTTTTTGGCATAATATAAAAGGAGTGTTGTGAGTTAATTATGGTTAATAAATGATGAAAAAATATATATTTGCATTTTAGCAGACTTGAACATAAGAATATTGCATTTGATGATTGTAGAATCCTGTATTTGAACAAGTTAAAATATACTGTGTTGATGCAGTTAGAATCCTGCATATTTGATGAAGTTAGAATATACTGTTATTATAGAACATGTTTTAAACTCTGTGTTCACATTCCTAAAATAGTACACACGCTTCAGCCACACAGAAGTGTGGGGATCATCAGGCCACTATAATACATTCACACTACACTGGCCATAGCTTCTTCATTCAACAAATATCTACTAAACATCTATTGTGTGCAAGGCACTGTTCTGTGTTGATGATACAGTGGTGTTCAGGTGTGCAAAGATAGAAAATTATCAAATAAAAGGAAAATATTAATTAATAAGAAATCTATACCAAGGAATCGAATACAGCTAAAGGGTTACCAGATATTCATTTTGCATAGTGGTAATATTATTGGGGAAACTGGGGTGTCCTCTTCTCAACAGGATGCTGGGGTTGGGGTCCTCATGATATCTCTAGAAAAAGAATTGTCTGACATTTGCATGGGAGGATAAGTGGTTTTTATTTGTATGAAATTACACCCCTGGTTCCCCAAATCCAATTCCAGTCATAGAAGTGTAGCTGGGGTTTCAGTAGAGGTAGAAGCAGAGCCAGTAGCCAGACTTTCCCTTCAAAGTAGCAGCCAGTTCCAGCTCTGCATCAGCCCATTAGTCCATCGTGTCTACATGACTCACAGCCAGGAAGCAGCAAGGAGAGAGCCTCGCAAGCCAGGAGACAAGCACAACACACAGGAGAGTGAACTCCTTTGTTTGGGATTAAATATCCCAATTTCATGTCCTTGCAGTGGCCACACCCATTCTGGCCAGTGAACTGTTCTCAGCTTTGACTGACAAGCAAGTACATTTCTGACATCATCCCAACTTACTGCTCAAGAGCCCAACTTCCTCCCTGTCCTGTCCCTTCCTCCAGTGAGCTGCAGGAGAATGAACTGGTGGCACCCAGTGGGTGTAAAATTTTAGCTTCCTGGTAAAGCTGCCCAAATGGCATGTCTATAATATTTGGCCTTCCCTTTGCTTCTTTCTTGATGTCAGTAACTAGGTTAATTACAATGGTATCAGTAATAATAGTGATAGTGATTATAATAGTGTAGATGAAGATAAGTGAATACATTCAGAACATTTTCCCTTGAATATAGTTAGTTTTATCCAAAAATGAATGTTAAAATAATAATAAAGATACTTAATATTCTATTGATTTCACAACAGACACCTGCATAAAAATGATAGACAGTTCTAGTAAATAAATTTCTTGGATTTAAGTTCAAAATCAGGATTTCTGATCCCCCCCCCCCTGTTATTTATAGCATAGTTGTAAACATTTTTGCTACTAGCACAAGAATGTATCCTGCTAATTTTTCCAGGGGTGGAAATGCTGGGTTTTGCCATTACAGAATACTCAAAAGTTTTTCAACAGGAGAGTGAAGAGATCAACTATAGGCTAGTGCACAGTGAAATAGTATACATATATGAACTATAGCTAACTATAAGCAATAAATAATAATTTTAATACAAAGCTGAATTAAAAAATCAGAACCTACAAAACTACAAAAATAAATTCCTTTTTAGAAAATAATAGATTGTTTTGGAATAAATACATATATGTGGTATATGCTGATTGTTTTTTCTTTAAGGAAAGAATAATGAAAAATTGAGAATATTAGTTATTTCATTGGTAGAGAAACAAACAAGAGGTATGCAGAGAACACATACTAATAGATCCATATAAGTTTTGGTAATCTAATTTTGAGTTTGGGTTCATTGTTACTCACTATTTTAAAAAAAAATGATGAGGGAAGGATAAAGAAAGAAACAAAAGGAGAGAGCAAGAAAAGAAGGAAGGAAGGCAGAAAGGAAGGAAAGAAAGAAGGGAGTCATGTACTGATGATGACAATGTGTCATGAACCAAAGATCATGATTAATATAATTATTTTAAGATAAATTTCTTTAAAAATAATTTTTATTGTATGGAATTATTACATTTTTTTCTAAAAAAGACTTGCTTTAAATATAAACAGGACAATTTCTTAGAAATTTTAAGTTAATAATGATATTCTTGCTTTTGCCATAATTGTTGG